TAATCAAACCTATTTATAGGCTTCAAGATTAGGGAGAGAATTGGAATGTACTATAAAATATTAAAAGATACATAAATAATTGAATAAATTGCATCACCTTTTTGATTTCTCATATTGAATGATGAATTGAATCATATTAAGAAGAATGAGTTATGAGAATGTGAAATGTTCATGGACATTCATTATTTCATAACAATTTTATATTTATTTTTTATTATTTATAACAAATGTGTTAGAAGGAAAAATCTTATACGTACAAACTTAATTTAAAAATATAATAATATATAACATAATATATAAAATATAGCAAATGTGATGATTGTTATAATAATAAAAGTGATGATAATTTATAACAATACTAAATATTTAACAATTATAATTTTATTTGGAAATAATAATGGTCATAATGGGTAATGATAATATAATAAAAATTATGTCATGATAACATGATAATGATAAAAAAATAATCATAATTTGCGAATTTCATAGAAATATCTACCATGATAATAACAATCATGTTAAACGAGATGATAGTGGTAAATAAGTGAAATCTAAGTGGTAATTATGATATTATGAGTGAAATGAAAGTAGTGATTATGGTATTATGACAATGGTGGTGGTTATGATGATAGCAACAGAGGCGATATTCATAGTGTTATGATGGTTGTGGTGAGAATATAATAATATGATAATAATAATATTGATAACAAAATGTTTTATAAATATAAAATAAGAAAAATAAAAAAAACTATTTTTTGTTGTTCTTAAAAATATGTTTTAATTTTAAAATTTGTTCAATGAAAAAATAAACTCAACATTACAACTAAACACATTTTCTATTTTTTAAAATAAAAATAAAACAAAAAATAGTAAACTATGATGATACCAAACAACACTTATATTTATATTATGCGATGCATTTTAATTATTTCATTCTTAATTTTTATTCCAGTTCATTGAAAGTTTGTTAGGTCTTGGATTGAGTAATGGGAGTAATCATCTTTTATTATGTAGTCGAAGTTATAGAAACTCTCAACTATTACTCCCTCAGTCTCAAAAAGTGATTGTCTTTTTTAATTTTTTATATAGATTAAAAAAGTTATTAATTATTGTGTTATATAAATATCTTTTTTTCTTATTTTTTTAGAATTGTATTTGAATTTTTTATAAAATAAAAATTTTATTAAGAGTATTTTAAATAAATATATATCTTAAAATTTTGACCAAACAACTATTTGGACAAATTTAAATAAAAAAATAGACAATCGTTTTTGAGACAGTGGAAAATTTCCACTAGAGAAACTTTTTATCAGTACACAACCATTGGTTCCTTGTAAATTATTCATATTTAATTAAATTATGGATAATTATTTTATTTTCCTCTGTCTACCTTTATAATCTATATCCAAAATAATAAATTGTGATGCAAATTAAATAAAAAAGCAAATATTATATAGTAAAATGGATTTTGGACTTTTTGTCTCTTTCTTTTTTAAGAATGACTTTTGACTTTTCTACTTTGACGTGAAAGTGATTGAATTCATGTTGACTCTCTTTATTAGTTTCTTGTTTGTTTAGATTCGTTGATTAAATTAAATATAAAATTTACCCAAATAAATATATATTGATAGATTATAAATTAATCCTCCTAATTTTGTAAAATAAATTAAATGGTTCATTTAATTTTAAAAACTAATCAATTAATTTGTTTACTAGTGATACCATATTTAATTTAATATTATTTTATTTCAAAAAATGACTTTTTTTAATAATCTTTTCATTTTATTTATTTTATTTTTCTATGTGATAAAAAAGCATAAAAAAATAAATTGAAAAAAAAATTACCTAAACTAAAAAACTAATGAATTACTTTTCAAAATTAAAAGGACTGTTTAATTTTTTTATTTTCTTATTTTCTTGAAAAACTAGACCGATTAAATTATAAATTTGATTTCCAGGGTATCAAAAAAAGAAAAGAAAAAAAATCCAATTATCACAAAAGAATTAGTACATTCTATACGGTTGATTTTACGTGGATAGACTACATGATGATTTGAACGATTCGATTAAGTAGGACTTACCAATGCCTTTTACAATTATCATCCTATCATTACTCACCATTATCATCATGCATATTTTTTTGCAAAATATACATTCGGGCTGAGACTAATTTCATTTGAATTCAGAAATCGTATTTATTAGAAATAATTATAATAATTTTCGCAAAGGATTACTTTAAAAAAATTCCTGAAAATTTCAACGGCTAAATTATGAGAGCCATTTATTCAAATTTATTAAAATATCAAACTTACACATGCCTTCACGTCTTTCGGGGGGCAGAAAGAAAAAAGAACGGGGTTTCCTATCAGCACCAACCAGCTAACCATTAGCTGAATTACTTTAATTTGAGGGATGTTTTAATTCAAACCCTTTTGGCTCCTTATGTTGTGAGTGGGTTTCTTCAGTTGGTTGAGATTTGTTAATCCCCCTTGTCTGTTCTGATACACCTGTCAAATGCGGTTTCCTTTTGATGTCGACAAAATCATGAAGAAAACTATTCACTTGATTGCTAGTTTAGGAGATTCCACAAGAAGAAGTGGTATCCAACAAAGCCAATTAGCAAAATCATGGTTGTTCGGGTTATCTGGTTAAGCAAAGTCACGAATCGGCTTTACCAAGACATTTTAACACTTGAGATTTCTATTTCTACTACAAAATCTCATATCCATGCTCTGAAAACTGTTAACAGGGATTTAGGAGTTGGAGGAAGCTATCCCTATCAGGCAGTTTAAGGCATGTTGAACCAAAAAGAAAAGAATAGGAATAATGGAGCAGAATCATGAATTGTGAAGTGAATGTTATAAAAGATAACTTTTACTAATGGTTTCATCATCGGTTGCCAAAGAAACAGTAGATGGGTTTTTCCATGTTGCCAAGTCATGGCCACATGACCAAAGTAATGGCATTTCCTATTAGTACCATGATAAAATAGTGACATTTCACAAGACAGTGCATAGCTGACTTTTATCACCGTCCTCATCACCTTTCAAAAATGGCCCCAATCCTCCAGCTAGCTGCTAGTCATTTGCTGTAGGCATAGCAGCATAGTCCATACACAATAAATTCTGGATGCGTATAATAGATAAAACCAGCATGCAGAGTATAGCGAAGTCCATTTATCAGGAGAAGTTGATGCTTCACCAGCTAAAAGACAGCCCACCTTTAAAAGTTTTCACTATCACAATCAATGTTCTTCTTTAGACAAGAGCATAAGCAGCAGCAGTAATATATATAGTTGTTTCTTCTGTAACCTTGTCAGTAAAGATAAGTTGTTCATTATTGAAAAGAAATAATAGCGACTACTTCATGTTGGAGTTCCTTTCCATTATTGTACTGTCTGACTGATCATTATACGTTGATGGATAGGGTATTTCTCTACTCTAGCTCAAATTTCAGAATAGGTCAATATGTCCTTAGCCGGCGAACTTAATCTTGGTTAATAAAAAAGTTATTTCGAAATTACTTCACTACCTATAAATATATTAAAAAAATAGTCTGAATTTCCAACTTATCCTTACATTTTTAATTAATTGCATCTATTATGTTTTCAAACATTTTTATTAAATCTTCAATCTATCATTTTAATTAATTTTTTCAATTACAAGCAAAAATTTTAATTGAAATACCTCGTATTAAAATGTAAAAATATATATAAAAAATAAAATTCTAAAAAACTTAAAAAATAAAACTTGCATGTTATGTAATGTCACTTTGAGTGGCATTTTTTTTAAGTTAGAAACATTTGGGTCAAAAAAATTGATTGAAAAGATTTAAACAATATTAAAAAAAAAACGTAATAAATATAATTAAAAATGTAATGACAAATTAAAATCTCATATTATTATATAAAATAAATTGATTTATTTACCCGCAAATTTAATGTTGTCTTTGTATAAATAACTTTCGAATATAATATGTCCGGATCCTTCTTCAGATCCCATTATGATTATTTACACATCAGAGATAATCCACCTTTCATTCAGATCTAAAATATAACCCCCAACATGTTCTACAAGTAACAAATAGCCATGCCTATGCACCAGCCAAAAGCTACACGACAGTTTCAATAAGCAAGCTAGCGACTTATATTGACGAAGTCGGCAAAGAGCTAGCAACCTAACTCCATATCACATGAACCATATAAAATCATGCCTGTTTTAACATCTTCAGTTGAAATATCAGTTCAATCTAAAAATAGTTTTAAGCAATTGGATTAGTGAAAAGATCTACTCCTTTTATGGGTTTCCATTGCATATACGATCATTCTTTTCTTTTAAATTTTGGGTGTACTTCTGTTTGATTGCTACTGCTTGTAATTGCATCTATAAGAACTGAGTGCATGAGAGGCCACATAAACCATCTGCGACTGCAGCTATTGCCAGAGACAATAAGATCTTATAAATTTAATGCTATTCTCCAGCAACCATTTTGGCACATCACATGAACTTTCTAAATGCATACCAACATAAAATCTGAACGTAAAGCAGGGAACATGATTATTTAACTCATTATCTGCTATTAATCTCTGCAGCGGTATTGCAATTTCACCTCCAATTGTATGAACCAAAACTATGAGGCCAAATTAACTATGGAAACCTCTTCAAAAAAGTAGAAACAATATTGACAAGGTTGGTAAATTCATGTATTTCCTTTACAAAAACGTCCAGAGACCATCTAAACAGCCTACTCGTCGTTTTATTTCCCGACCAAGTTTTCTCATCAAGTCATTTCTGTCCAGCATTTTTTTCAATCCTACGCTAATCACCATCATCTATCTACGTAGTTAATAAAATCCTTCTATGACATGACAAATTTCTGTGAGCTGGAACAAAGAAAATTTTGGAAAAATTTACCCAGTCATTGAGAGTTCCTGGTCTTTTTAGCTGTGAATAGTTGGCGAAGGAAAGCAAACTTTAAGCTTCCACGAGAAGGAAACTTGGTTATGGTTCCATTACTTGATGATGCTGCCTCATTGGTTTCAGATTCCGGTAAGGATGGTGAGGGTGAGGGGGTGAGAGAGTGAAGAGAAATGCATTGAGCATCCGGATGATCTGGCCGAAGCTGGGCCTCAAGTTAGGGTCTTCAACCCAACATGACTGTATGATAAATGCAAGGTCAGGGGATATATCTTGTGGAATCGTGGGCCTCTCTTGCTGTATTCATTAAAAACCAGGTTAGTTGTCTTCAAAAACAAAAAAGTACCAGATTAGAAGATTTGATATTACTAATGCAGAATAACTTCTCTAAAGATGGTCCTCAAGGGGCACACATTGCAAGTGCGAAAGAAAAACAACGGACTGCATTTGGTAAGAGTAGTATTGCCACTTGAGTTACACATCTGATATTAATAAAACACAACACACGCACATGCAGACTTGTTTGCAATCAATTCTTCACCTTAAATGCAGCAGCATAGGCAGCTTGCAAATTTGACATGCCTTCAAAAGGCATGCGGTTGGTCAATAATTCCCATAGCACAATTCCAAAGCTGTAGACATCAACTTTGTTATTGTAATGCTTCTTCTCTCCCTGCCGCAGTGTCACAGTGCTATACAACTGCAAAAACAGTTAGTAAAACATCTGGAAAACTGGAAAGGATTTGTATTCTACATGCAAACAAGATGATATTCTGATGCAGAATGCTGATAACTTATAAACAATGCAACCTGACCATTCAACACCAGATTTCAACTACACTTAAAGAACAATATCGTTATCACCTGCGGGTGCTTCAATTTGTTAAGTAATCGAAAAAACACTAATGTTTGCAATCCATTTGGAGAAACAAACAAATAAAATTAATGAAAAAAAATTGAAATCTAATATAGCACTAAAGCACACGCTGTATTCATTGACTTAAGATCTTCTATTTAGTTTCTTCACATGTCTGAATGAAGATTTACAAAATGATGAACTAATGACAAAGATGGAAGAGGAAAAGACACAAGAGACATGTTACCATGACGCAATGTTTGTTTCTGTTTTTTCCACCAGGTACGTGGCTGATGTACAAGCATCACCAGTCTCTATTTAATAGAAGAATATTGAAGCACTAGAGAATTTTTATGCTGCTAATATCTGGTGATATTAAACCAAAATCAAACTATGTGAGCAAGAAGGCACAGACCTCAGGAGCCATCCAACGGTAAGTCCCAGTTTCTGCAGTCATCATCTCAGTCACTGTTTCTTCTCTTGCAAGACCAAAATCTGCAAGCTTCACAGACCTCTGATTTTCCGTAAGCAACAAATTGTCTGCATTAAGAAAAAGATTTTCCAGTCATTTTGATGAAAGGAATAGACAGTGATTATCAATTACATGAAGTGGGCAATGTGATCCACGAAAACAGCATTCTTATTCGACAGCACAAACAACATGAAAGTCACCAGCATCATTAACCTTGACGGAAGAGTCAACAGTCACTTGCAGAAAAATCCAGTAGACCTAAGAAGAAACTGAACTCAAATATCGTGAGCCATGCCAATGGCCTAATTGAATTACATGTAGAATATAATGATAAGAATAAAAAAAATAGCAGGCAAAGATGACATTCTCCCAAAGATTTGCAATCACAAAATTAGAATGGCATTTTCCCAAATATCACGGGATCATAGAAGAGATAAGAAAGGTTGTAGGAATCCAAATACATGCTCTTTTTGATATAGGCTAGAAGGAGGCACGATTATCATATTCAAATGTATCAACATTACAATGCAACTATAAATGAACTTTGAACTCTAAATTTTAAGGTCAACATAAATGTAAAAAGACAAAAATAAATCCTTTGGCATATTCTTAACATACCTGGTTTAAGATCTCTGTGTATAATCCCATTAGCATGTAGACAATCCATAGCTCGTGCAATGTCCAGAGCAAAATTTAAGGCCACATAGAGGTCTAACTGTCCCGGACGAATACTAACCAAATACTTCCGCAGTGACATCCCTGGCAACAACTCAGTTACTATCACCATTAATGGATCCTTGCAAGCCCCAATAAACTGCAAAAAACAAGAAAAACATTGTGCTAAATTAACACTAAATAAAGATGATGCATACAAAACCAACAAAATCAAGCATCATACACTGTTAATCACACAATCACCTTGACAAGATTCTCATGTTTAACTCGAGACATCATATTAACTTCACGCGCAAAACGATCCTCGAGTGAAGCTCTTTCGTCCGAAGTACTCCCACGATGAAGAACCTTGATTGCAACAATCAGATCACCATACCTGGAAACATTTTCGACTAACACCTACGTAACTAACGCTAACTACCAAGAAAAAAACACTCCCATACTCTCACTATTCAGTTACAACAACCCATTTTTCTCAATAGAATAGGAACCAACCAATACAATCTTTTCATGAACAATTGCAAAACTAGATAAATCATATTAATTTACAAAAAAAAATAATCATCATCACAGATACATAATCCGACCGCAGCTAACATTTTCCTTTAATTAAAAAAAAAAACCAATACTCCATACTGACCTTCCTTTATAAACTTCTCCATGAGCTCCTTCACCAATTTTATTCCCGATAAACAACAAGTTAGGGTCAATCAGCAAATTTTGATCAATCGGAGTCGTTATGGAGCCATTTTCCGTAACGGTTCTCGTCTCTACCTCAACAGACCTTCTTTGCTCGTAAATTTCAACTCCTCCTCTTCTGTTCCCCTCCCAACTCATGTTGCTAAAAATCCTTGAAATCACACTACTCCTGAATTCCTCATTTCTTTAAGAAATATTAAATATATCTATCTCTCTAATTTTCCAAAAATAAATTTTGATTTCAACTTCACGAAATGATTTTCCTTCCTAATTAAACATCCAGATATTTCTAGACCAAAATGGAAAGAAAAATCTTTATCTTCTTGACAAAAAAAATAGTATGGAATTAATTTTCTCTTCTTAGCTTCGGCGAGAAGACAACTTACAATAAACGCTAAACTTTATCAAGAGAGAGAAAAAAAACAAAAGAAACCAAACGTCGTCGTTTAGATGAGCATGAGTGACGGAGAAGTCTGTAGCTCCTGTGAAATTTTTTTCCGACGGAGATAATATTTTTTCCGAGATTCTGAGCCGATGAGGGTTTTTTGTTTACTAAAGTTTTTGAAAGTGGAAGGAGAGAGAAAGACAGAGGGGAAAAAGGAGAGGGAGAGAATGGTGTTTTGATGAGAAATGTGAATGTCCAATAAGAAGAGAGCACGTGGAGAGCAAAGAAATAAGGGGCCTTAGAGGTAGGTCAGCAAAGCTGCAGCAGCAGTGATTTGGACGTTGTTGGTCCACTATGCTCAGATACGGAAGCAGTCACGAAGTGACAAACTAAAGCTCTTCGGCTCGGCTTTCTTCCCTGGCTCCGCTACTCTCTTTCTTTTCCTCATTTGTCTCGTGCACATATAAAAATAAGAGCGAGTTTATAATTTAGTCTATGTAGTTTTAGTGTTATTTAAGTTAATCCTTTTTCGTTTAACAAATTCATTTTTAGTCGCTATCTTTTGGAACAAGTTTATAGATTAGCACTTTACTTCCTAAATAAGTACTTTTTTCCCTTTTTCAGTCCCTTTCTGAATGGCAATTTTAAAATTCAAAGTCTAATAAATATTGGGGGTTAACTTCCATCATTTTTCAAATACATTCAAAATAAAAATATAAGAAAGGATAGAAATATAATAAAAAAATATCAATAATATATTTTTTTCTTTAAAAGTCATGTTTTCTCTATTATGAAAGTTACGTCTAGACTAAGAACACAACCAAATTTATTCTTAGCAATCATATATTTATAACTTTTATCAATGAAAAATAATAAAATTCTAGCAACGGTAATTTCTTTATTATAATTATATAATGGATGATCACTAACTTTTATTGATGGTCCAAAATTCATTGAACCTTTCACTAAAAAAAGATAGAACCCTTGAACGTATCTTTATATTTGTGTTAATTATTCATTTATACTCTTATCGATGAGGTCCGATTCTCGGATTAATTTTAACGATTAACCGGCTTCGATTTAAATTGATCATGTACTCAATATATTTCGTTGTATAGAAAATCAATCGCTAATACATACAAAATAAATTCTCTTATGGTATTTAGAGGATCTTCTAATAACTAAGTTAGTATACATAGAAAAATGTTTGGTCTAAATAGACTTGATAGTATATTCAACTATTCGTAAGAGAAGATTTATGATGTTATCTAGGTTTTAGAGCTTATGAGATAAAACCCGTAACACATGATGTGTTAGTTTTTTATATAGTAAAGAGGATGGTTAACTTACATGGGACGGAGAGTAGGCTAGTTATGTATAACAACTTTTAACATCTATTTGCAAGTTCGAAATATTTTTAAGTGAATTTTTTGGATTATCGGCACATGTACAATCATATTTGGTGATAACGTGACGAACATCTTATGAAATAATGCTCTCATTAAATGCATGTTATTTCTATCTAATCAAATGGAAAAAATGATTTTATCCAGTGTCATTTGTATATACTTGTGTATTCATGGTTTGCCCAATCGTAAAGTATTTACTTATAGAACTTTCTCATTTATAGTTATGTTGAGGGACGAGAGGCTATAAGGTCATAGGAAAAATACCCTATAACTACAAGTATGCCTTATTTTGGTAGGCTTTGGAGGCATGTGGTACAAGATAAATTTATACAAATATATCGGTGGTCCCCTTAAATCTTTAGCATGTTTTCTGTTGAAGACTTCAATTACGTTTGAGTGCCTCCGGATGCATATGGCAACCGATGGATTTTTACTTGTCTTTCTCGAATTGACCTTGGTGGATGTAATGTAGGCTCATTTAATGTATACAACCTTGATAATTGTGTGGATACATGGAAAGAATAAAAGTTCATGGATGAGAAGTTTTAAAAGAAATCGAAAACATAAAGCCTTTTGGAGTCTCTTCCATTTTAGTCTATTTTAACCTTTTTTGAGCACGTGGTGATACAAAATTAGCCAATCTCGGGTGGAACTAGTTTTTGAGCTTAAGCTTTTGAGTGCCCAACATAAGACTTTTTGCACTCTTTCTTGCTTATAAGTAGTTGTTAGCTTTTACACCTCTTTTTAGTTTTTCCTAATTTTATTTCTGCTTGTTACAAACTTTAAAAGGATTGGTAGGCATTACCGATAGGATGGTGATTGGCTAGAGTTCTTCTTAGATAGAGTGTTTTCTCATAAATTTCCATTTGACTAACCCCTTGTTTGGATATTTCCTCTTGGAAGGAAAGAAAAGAGAGGAAAGAAAGTGAGAGAAAAGAAAAGGGAGAGGAAAGAAAACTATTTTTCACTTGTTGTTTGGATAAGAGTGAAAATGAAATGAAAGAAAGTATATTTTTCTTGTTTGTATAATTGTAAAAAGAGAGAGGAAAGAAAATGTATTATTGTATATTTACTATAATACCCCTATGCTTATATTTCTATATTTAAATACTTATAATAAATTTGTATGAATATTTTTTCATGAAAATAACACAAATGATAATAAAATAAAAATCTAGCATGTAGCATCTATCCGAAAGGATAAGATGGATAATGAATCGTCTACATAGAATAATCAATAATCGTTTATTAATTAATTAATTCAATAGCTAATTTAGATTAATTATCATCATAAAATTAATTTAAATATGTATAACATGTATTATTATCTATGCATATAATAAGTTAGTTGCTTTTACCTATCATTTGCTTCGATTTTTTTTTAGAATAAAAAATTACTATTTAGCAATTAAAAAAAAGAGTATGTTGTAACATTGCGAACAATCATGAAAACTCAATTGAATCACAAAAAATGAAACAAATTGCATATTTGGACGAGATAAGCATAACCGATTACTTGGGTGAACATTCCAAATTTATTGTAAAATTTGTAGAGTTCTCGAAAGCTTAAGATAGGCTGTTGTTGCTTATTTTCTGTCAAAAGCACTTAATCAAATGCAACCTACAACATCATGTTGCGGCTGCCAACAACCCAACAAACGAAAATATGTTCGGCCTTTTTTGTTTTAATAATAATTTTTATTTCTTCTTTTGCGGTAACTCAAAAAGTGTTCGAGGGGCTATTTGAGGGATGTTTTGTGTCTCGCTTTGGTGAGTTTTTTTGGAGTTTTTTTGGGTGTTTTTGAAGCTGGTTTGGGAGTGTTTTTGTAGGCTGCTTTGGTGGTTCAAATGGCCTATCCAAAAGGGTTGCTTTGTGAGGGTGTTGGGAGGCTATTGGTAACGGTTTCGGGGTTGATTTTGAAGACTTTTGATAGGTGTTGGGTCTTGTTTTAGGGTTGATTTTGAGGGTATTTTTTTAGGGTGTTTTGAAGACTTTTGGTAAGTGTTGATTTCTATTTTGTTGGTAACAGTTTCAACATTGAATCATGTTACAAAATCATTAGCGGGGAAACAAATCATCATGCGGGAAAATGCGAAGCTTAAGCCATAGAGCAAAAAAATGATCACTAGTTAACAAATAAACATAAAATTCCCGACTAAAGAACCAAAATGTTGTACGGACAACTTCATAACACCAAAAATTCCATTATTAGTGCACAGATTAAACGAGAAAGGGAGGAAAAATATTTAAATAAATTTCAAAGCCAATACCGCAATCCAGAATAGTATATAGGCGATATTGTTAAAAAGCCTTTCCCTCGGTCCACACTCCATAAAAATTCGAGTGTGAAACCACCAAGTGAACACATACAAAATACTATAATACGAGTTCTTTAAAGGCATTCCTAATCCAAGGAAGTACAAAAAAAAAAAAAAGAAGCAATGCTAGCAACTCGGGGATAACAAACAAAAAGGCGGCCTCAGAAATGTCATTATTCTCCTGTCTGCACTGAGGAGACCAAAACCCAGCACAATTCTTTGCACTCCAAATCCTCCCCGTAACCACTGTGTTTGGATATTTCCTCTTGGATTAAGTTTAATTTCCCTAAAACGCCTTGAAATGTCTCGATGAGATTTACATTGCATTTAGATTATGAGTAAAGGAACATCAAGAAAAATCAAATCACAATGAAGGAGTTCTCTCAACGGAACCAACAATGACGATAAGCAAGTTGTTGTCGAAAGGATCACCGAGATGCTTTGCCGGGTTTTCGACGGGACCTTTTCCGAGTAACTTAAGCTTGGATGAAGAAACCGAGCAAGGCAAACATTGCAACTCTACCATTCTTGATCTCCTTTACCTTCGGGAGTGCGAGCTTGGTCGGGATCCTTTGCCAAACCCAATGGGTCAAAAGGACCGCTCAGGTGAAGCTTGTCCTCGAAACCCTACCAAGAAAATAACACAACTATGTCATTGCTTGTCATTTTAGAAAACAATAATTAATATCCAATCGTAAAGCTCGACTAGCTTGTCCGAGACCACTTTGGGCGGGGCATCATTTATCATACGAGTTCAAATGGATTTTAAACATCGAGAACCAAAATGTTCTCAAATTACTCATAATCGTTTAAGGTCCGTGTTTAATAAATAAAAGATAAAATTCGCACATTAACCTTGTACCTAAGTAACTAACTATCATATTAACAATTCATAAAGCTATACTTTTGAAATCAATCATTAGATTAGGATGTAACTAAATAGAGTCAAAGAATAATACTAATCCATTGGTGATTACGTAGTATTCGAGCACCACCAACAAGGATAACCTCAACCATGACGAGCAACGGCAAGGTTAATAGGGATGTTTTTGCCAAAGTAGTTCAATGTGCTTGCCATCGAAGTAGAGCCACTGTCCGTAATAATTAAACGTAAATCATTTATACTATTGTCTAGTGTTATGATAATTTTCTATCAAGATTAACTCGAAAACAAGAAATCAACAATTGTCATTGAAAAAAACATAAAGAGTTGCATACCTTGAACCGGACGAGCTTGAGGGCCACAGTTGGCCCCAAGTTTGTTGAAGGCTTCGGGGATAATGAAGCCACTGCTCTAAGCATGGCCCATCCGACGTGAATCAACTCAAATGCTTGATATCCGCAACGAAAGAGTAGTCTCCATTAGTAAAAAAAAGAAGAAAAGAATCCACATACGTTTAAGTAAGAAAGACAAAACAAGACAAGTCACGGTGAGTTGAAATACTTTTCGAAGTTTTTTGGCTTTTTGTCGAGACCAAAAGGATCATAACCATAACTGCAAGTCATATGTAAGTAGATCATTAACATTTCCAGCTATCGATCAAAGTACTCATGATAGTGAACTTATAAACCATAGCTATAATTTAATGTAAGAAAAATCAAGACCCGAGTTTAGGTAAAGAGCAAGAAAATTAATCTTACTCTTCGGGGCTTCTCCAATCAAGTATTCTAGGATCTCGGATCGGTCCAAAAGCCCTTCCAAGCAAGAAAATTCTTACGTCAAGACACTGAAAGCACCAAATAAATATTGTTTTTTTTAGCATATAACGGTAGCAAAACTCAACTTCAGCATTTACACGAAAAGAAGAGAAGATGGACGAGAAAAATGGGTCACTTACCATACCATTTGATGAGCTCGTCATCAGTCGGTGCAACAACAACAAGATTTGCTTTAGAAGCGACCTTCTTCTTGGAAAAAGAGCAATCGTCTTCACCGTAAAAAAAAAAAGTATTATTTTGAGAGACAAAAACCAATCATATATAGGATCCGAATGAAACCCACATACACCCTCGGATCAATAAACCCAAAGACAATAGTAATGGAAGAAGGTAAAATACCAATCCCTTGGATATCAAACAAAGTAGATCAACAACTAACGTTTCTTCACCGCCGTTTATTACACGGTCCTTCTCTTTCTCTCTCTCTTGTCCTATATTTCGTCTCTCTCTCTCTCACTTCATAAATAAATTATGTGCTATGTTTTACTATTGACACGAGTAGGAGAGACGGATCCGGAAAAGAAAGTTGATGAACGAGAGGTGAAACTGGAACGAGTAGGCGAGTATGTAGAGAATAGGAAAGGGACGATGAGGCGGATAGAGGGCAAAAATGAGAATATTTTTTTTTTTTATGATTTCTCAAGTTTCTTTCTCCTGGTTTCCTCCCAATTTTGGGAGGAAAATGTGTCCTACTATTTTTATATTGTTTATTATTTTTTTCTTTCCTCCGGTTTCCTCTGCGATCCAAACAGGAGAAAACTTTCATTTCCATCCCATTTTCTTTCCTTTCTTCCGCTTTCATCCCTATCCAAACAAGAGGTAAAGGAATATTTAGCTACCGTGGTTACTCCGAATACATATTGAGCTTTCGTAGAGTGATCATCCGGCTTTGGGGATTTTAATAAAGTTTTAATAGGTAAACCTTCTCTTTTTCTTCTTTTTATTTATGTTTACTTAATAATGATAAATTTAAGAAGAGTTACAAAGTTGTTTGGGTTTGCTTTTAGCAATGAGAAGGCAATCCCTAATGTGGACACGAGTTCCTTGTTCTAAAGACGAACAAAGACATATATCCATCCCTAATGATAGAAGTCCCAATAGAGTTTCAAAAGCGAGGATTATGATCTTCTGTTGTTATTTAGAGTGAGATTATCGTATTATTATTCTTAATCCTAGCGATATGATGAAGAGATTAATATTTGTGAGCTTTAATGAGAACATTGACATTATTGTTCTCACTTGTATGATCGAGTACAATTTTAAATTTTCTTTGTTCGGATTCATAGAGGAAGTCTTTTAGCATTTCTTTATACAAATTGAAGCGAGTCTCATCTTTAGAGCTCTTGTGTACTCTTTCTACTTGAAAGATAGAAGTAAAGAGGACACCATAAGATCCTATGTGTATACTTCTCTTTTTAGAAAAGCTATTCCATTGAATGAGATATTTTTGAGGGGTTAAATTTACTCGATGATTGGAGGAAAGAATTGTACATCACCACGTTTGAAGGGCGAATGCCTTTTAAAAAAGGTTGGTTGATATAGGACCGCGATCCTTTCTAGAAGCATTTCGGAATAGGCAACAATTATATACTCATAAATTGAGTGTAGACTTAGTCTTTTAGAGTCGAGTAAGGAGTATGGTTGGCATATTTTGTATTAATCTTTCGCATGAGGTTACCCTTGGACCGGTTTTACATAATAGCTATGCTAACTTTTAAGCATTTTTTTGTTTTTGTCCTAAAGTTTTTTTTTTTAATGAATGTTGTTCTCTTATAATTGGCAAATCTTCTAGAGTAAGACTTATTCCCTATGATCCTTTAATGGAGCAAGCATAACTTAGCAAATAAATGATTGTAGAAAAGAATCCAAGAGGCATTAAGTCTCCACTTCCTCATTCAAAACCCATGATTATGAGAAAGATGAGTTTGGATGGGGCTTAAACCCTTATGAATAAGAGGATAAAGATTGTCCATCCTTCTTCTAGATTTGGTTGTCTCATCAGCATATGGTTTTGGATCTTTACATGTACCAAACACTGCGAGTCTATGTTCTTTTTTAACAAGGCTTGCTATCCCTACTCATGTTGTTGCCCATCGATCCATCATATTTAGTTTTTCTCCCTACTCATGTTGTTGCCCATCGATCCATCATATTTAGTTTTTCTCCTCTTAAAAAGAATATCTTTTATCTATGACATCCTGGTAAATAAGTTGATTTTGATCTTTTTGTTCTTTAATGACCCGTTGTGTCATGAACTCTTCGTAGTTATAGGGCCAAGAGCTATTGATGTCTCTTCCTTAAAGAAACTTTACCTAAATATGGATATTTTTAGGGATTGATCTACCTTATTGAGTAGAGAAAAAGAAGAGGTCGTTCACCTCTTTAGGTAAGCTTCGTTGCTTCTTGAGGGATTTATTAAACCTTAATGGCCATTATTTAGCCAATAATATGAGAAGAAGGATGCAACTTTCTTTCACTTGTGAGTATTTTCCTTTTTATTTTCTTCTTTTGAGTTTATCTATTAAACATCACCATGGTATTATCTACGGACTCTTTAAACATAAGCCTATAGTCTTTATAGGTGGGAAGCTTAAGAGAAATAGCTTTTGGTTACTATTAATTTGATGCGGCATTACGGTCTGCATTCAAAAGAAGGAAGAGAAAGTGTTATCCTTTAAATAGAGATGTAGGGAAGGTTAAAAGAGTTGAATGGCTCATTAATCAAAGCTTTTATTGAATGGAGGGCAGCAATTATTTGAGAGTTGGCGATAGGTGTCGGAATTATAGGAGATTATGAAGACCACTTCCTATAAGATGGAAGAGATAAGGGCTAGCTTAATTGTTATGGCTCAAAAAAACGGATGTTGCTTTAGAGTGGATTCCTTCTTTGGAGAAAATAAGAGATCATTTATAGTTGTATTAAGGGTTGGGTGACTTTAAACCCATAAGAAAAAAGCCTATGACTATAAGAAGGCCTTATTTTGGTGAGCTTTGGAGGTATATCGTGCAAGATAAATTTATATGGGTATATCTTATGTATTATAAATTTGGTCAATTGACTCTTATGTTATTTGAATTTGTTTAATTTATCCTTCTTCTTTAAATGTGTTCAATTAATCCAATGACTAACTCCTTTCAAGTCTCTGTGTTCATTAAAAATACGAATATGGCATTATTAAATCTTTTTTGTTGAACGCATTAAAACCATTTTAGTTTTTATCTATTTTTTTTTTGGAATTCAAACTCATCTTATTACTCGTCGAGACCCGAGCCGACGAGCCACGATCGGTACGTAGCCCGAGGTGGGGTGACCCAACACGAGCTACGTAAGCCTTAATCTTTTCTCCATTTCTTATAGAAATTTCGACGACATTTCCCCTATAATTGGAGGGTCCCAAAAATAATATATATCCCGCATAAAAATCACAATATATGTACACTTCTAAATCATCTTCACCAATTCTCAATCATCATCAAGTCCCTCCATTGGACATCCACACTTTCTCATAAATCTCGGTATTTATTAAATTGATAAAAAAACACATAATTCGGTATTTAACATAACCAAATTTATAAATCACCATTTAACCATCCAAATAGAAAACATGGAGACCCTTAACTAGCTATCCCCGGATTTGGTGATGCTACCAGCGGAGCAACTAAGTGAAATAAAATATATAATGACAAATTATAATTTCAAAATGGACAATGAGTATAAATTTGAAACAACCATGTCCTATACCCGGAGGAAGCAAAATAGTATCCGGGTAGTACCTTCAAATCCGAAACTCTATCGTCCTTCTTCTATGATCTAGCTTCTATATCCGTTATCTAGCTTCGTATTATCTATAAAATATTTGAGGTTAGAGGGGGATGAGTTTTCAAAACTCGGTAAGCATAACACATATCATAAATCGTTATACATACGATTATGCTAATGCACCTATCATACATGATTTGCAACCAAGTAAGCAATCAATAACTTTTTCTTTTCTTTTTTCTTTCTTTCTTTCTTAACAATTAATAATAGCATAACAATTACTTGAAATCACCCTATGCAGAACTGTCTATTCCTTTGGCCCTCGAAAAGGGTAATTATGGCTCTCGCGAGGGTAATCGTAAACTCCGGCCCCTGCAGGGGTAAACTTTGAGGGAAGCACTGCGGCCATTCCACTAGTCAGCAATACTAGGTGCACCTAGGCTAACTATAACCCCGTTAGCTTAGTTAGTCCTGCATAGACTTCTTTCAAGTCATCAATATCATTATTCTCATTCGGTACATATCAATCACATAATTCCATTTAATGCAAGTGATCATCATATCAACATGCACATATATCATTCAACGTATCAATATTCTCTTTAATAACCACAATTCATATGGCAACATACCAATTCAATTCAATTCACCTATACTAAAATAATTCAATTCACATGCAATTATTTTTAATAATTAAGCATTTATCCATATAATCAATTTTTCACCTCATAAGCAATATAGACATATATGATAGTAAAGACTCATAATAAATGTTATACTTACCTCTAATTTAGAGGAACACCCCAAATTATAATTGTCTCTTCCTTAAGTAGCTTCTTTCACCAAATCCTCTCTTACCTCTATCATCATAAATTTACATTCATCAATAATAACAATAATTAGACACTAATAAATTAAAATTCAAGCTTAATTGGACCCTAATTAACCCATTCACTCACTTTTCCTAAATTTTCCTAAGCTAACATAAACTCTAATTTTAATTAAACCTAATCCCTAATTTAAATTCTTAATTCAAAATGAAATTCATTAAATTACCTATAACCCATCCTAATTAAGGTTATAATTAACTAAAACATTAAAAAAAATTCAAAAACTAACTTAATAAATCTTTTTCCTTCTTCCTTATTTCACCTTTTTTATCCTTATTTTTCTTTTTCTTACATGAGTCACTCCACCACTGCCATCGTCGGAGTCGTCGTCGGAGTGGGTGGTCGCCGGTGAGTCTTCTTCTTCCTCTCCTTCTTTCTCCTCTCTTTCCTTTCTTCTTTTTCTTTCTTTCCCCCATTTGCCGTTTTTTCTTTCCTTTGGTTTACGCCAATTCTTCCCTTTTTGTTTCTTTCTTTTCTTTACTTTTAAATTACC